GAATTTTATAGAACACAGAACAGCAAGGGCACACTGTTGGAATTTCTTAATTGCAGCCAATGTCAGCAGATGATACTATTGGTACTAGAAACCTGCCTTTAAGCTGATCTTGAAGTTAGAAGCTGTACCCAAGCCTTAGCTCCATGTTATAGCCCTTCAGGTAAGCGTTGCTGTCTGGAACCTGACCGTGAAAGCTGGGCAGCATCCCCAGCCCTGCCCTGTCGCTGGGCATTTCAGACACTGCTACTCCTTGCATATATTCAAGGCTGCTCCAAGAACACTGAAGTTCTCCTCCCTTGCTTCCTTACAGTGCTAACAGATTCATTTGTTTATCATTTTATTCAGTTATATAACCAGCACATTAAAACAATCACGCTGGATTTTACAATGCCCCAGAGAAACTGCAAAGCTAGAGGCCATTTCCTGACATCCAAGAGGTAAAAGTATCAAATAAAGCTACACCTCTCAAGAAAACTTTAAAAGGTTGTTCCAAGCTGTGATGAGACGCTGAGCGGCTGATCACAGGAATCACAAGGCAAAAACACTTCTCTCTGCACAAACGTACTTGACATTCCCTCAGCCTGGGATTTTTCTCATCCAGCATCATCACAGTCCTATTTCTCTTCCTCGTGTGTTGTCATGGGTCACTTTCAGTGGAGAAAACCTCAAAACTTGAAGATGCAGCATTTTACTTGTTTTCCTTAGTCGCGAGTCATTTCTCCTTGCCAGCTTTGCAGTCACAGAATTGCAATGCTACAAGGGCAAATATCTGCTGTCGTGCATGCAGCGTTACTGCTCGTGTGGATTTCTTCCCAGCAGCTGGGAGGAAATGTTCTTCTTGTTTAGACAAAAATATCAAATGGTTAGGAAATAAGGAGTTAGGAAAAGCTGTATACAAGGTTCATGCTTGAGAAACACAAGGGCACAGAAGACTTAGCCACTAAGAAAATTCCACTGGACATTAAGTTACAATAATTTAGATCTGCTCATTTATGGTAAGTCAGCCATTTTACTGTTGACCTACTTTGTATCAGCAATAATTTGTCACAGTGCATTCTCCAACTGCTACTGAAAGAAAGGTTGAAACCATACATTAAGAGCATAGTGTCAAAGCAACTGATGTTAATTATACCCTGCAACTCCTATGTTGATGAAATTGTCACTGCTAACCATTAATACAGCATTTACTGTCTAAGCCCAGCTTGCTCTACCAACCCTTGAAAGCCACTGAATTAACATCCTGCTTCACAATGTTCACTTTATGCCACATTGGAATGTAAATCTGAAACATGTAAAAATAACCTCTGCTATTACACCAAGAATGTGTAAATACACACTCCTTTTTAGGAGAGCTATTTATCTCCAGTCTATACATGTTTCACTCTTTAAACTAAAAACAGCTTTAATGTTCTTCAGTCAAGTGGCAGCTTTTGCCAATATAAACTACTTTCCCTAAAACTTATGGCATCAAGTAGAGGAAACTTTGGAAAATGTAGAGTGCTACTTGATTTATGGACATTCAAAAATAAGCTTTACATAGGTGCACAAAAAAAGAAAAGCAGCAATGTTCTTCATTTCATTCATTGCTAACCTGCACAATAACAAGAGATCATATTCTCCCAGCATAAGTAAGCAAGGTTAATTAGAAGGACACCTCATGCAGATTTAGTGTTCATGTTCAGTGACATCTGCTTAATTTGGTAACAGAAATGTTTACAAGCATCAGCACAAACCAACCACTCCAGGAGCATTAACCGGATTCTTTATGGTATGCACGTCAGTAAACTGTTTTGTAAGGTCCTCCTGCTGCAGTACAGTTCCCCCTGCTTCTAAATCATCTCTCAAGCTACTCTTTTACCTATTTAAATTGAAGGCAGTCAAGAGCATACAGGCTTAACAATATTTAGCCTTCAGAATTGTCATCACTACCTATGATAGGAGGCAGCACAACTTGATCTTCTGATCCAAGACGACTCATTTTAGTGAGGAATAGGAGAGACTTTATCCTATGAACTGATTCAATATGAGATACAACAGAAGCAGAAGCTGGTGATGGTATTTTCACATCAGAAGAGTGCCTCACGTAGGTTGTTTCCAAATTCTCATGTAGACTGATAGAACAAACCAATAATAAGAAAATCGCATGGCACGATGAGGCCTGTCATGCCGATCTACCAGAAAATCTTTGCAGAGTCAGCAGAAAAGTAGAAAACTAAAATCAGCATTATTAGTAATGGCAGGAAAGCCCCTACATCTCTATGCAGACCTAAGAATGACCCTAAGATCTAGAGGAGGAAAAAGTCCAAATGACTGCTTAAAGCCAGATGTACATCTCCAGAATAAGCAGGAAAAAAACCACCCAACTGCAAAGAGAACAGAAGAACAGAGATTCTTACAGGATACATGTAATACAACTCTCTATAGAAGCATCATTATTGAACATGAAATACAAAAGTAAACTCGAGTACATAGGATCTGATATCACACGTAGCAAGTGGGCGAACATGCTGTGAGAAAAAGAAACATTTGCTCACCTGGCATAAACTAGAAGCCAATTGTACACTTTATAAAAATATTCACTGAATTGTCAACAAGTCTTAGCAGACTGGTCCATCAGTCTAAGAACAGCTGTAACATTAAAGCTGCGTACAGCTGAGCCTGGCCTCAGAACACCAACAGAACAACAGGATTATTCAGTGCTTCACAACGAAAGTCCGAGTAATTTAACTAACGTGCACTGGGCAAGCAGGTCTTGAATGTGCTCTCTCATCTCTAATAATTTGTGTTAAAGTAAGAGCCTTGCTGGTTTCATAATGGCACCTTAAATGAAATTCAAAAGTGACAAGCATTTAGCTTAGTGCACTGTTTGTTCTACCTGCACCAAAACATAGGATTGGCAACAGCCTCCTTCTAGAGACATACTCCATTTTTCTCAGGAGTGCTTCCTATGCCCTGCTGCCACAGTATGCTAAGTACTTTCAAAATTAGACAAGGGCACATTGTGTGCACATGGGGGTATATTTAAATTCCAGCTGGAAGAAATCCCAACAGCTCTGAGGACACAGGTTGTACCAATTACTAGTTACAGCTGCAGTTAAAAACTATGCCATGAATGAAAGCACCCTACCATAAAAGGACTAAAATGTTAACCATCTAAGGGAGCACGCTCATTCTTGGTTCAGTGTCACATGCCAGCCTCGCAGATGGAATACTTGCTGCCTCCCAAAGCTATGCTTAACTTATCAAAAAGAAAGTACCAACAGCTGATGCTTTCATAATTTGCATAGCTCACGTCAAAGACCAACTACACAGCTACCCTTTTTGATGCTGTTCTTACTGTGCAGCAGAAAAGACTATAGGCAGCTCCACAATATACCAACCACAGCTCACTCAGCAGCGAGCTTCATGAAAGTTTAATATCGCTTTACAAGAAGCCAAGCTCAATGTTTTTCTTTCTATTTGGATATACTTATGCTGTCTGCGGACACGTAACGCAACAGAAACATCTTTGAGCACTCCTGTTGCTTGAATAAACCCCTTGCTTACAGACTTAACAACTTGAAAGCATCATTTTAAAAGCAGCAGAATTTTTAAGGTATCAAGATGTGGACCTAAACTTTGACTCTATGCATGAGTAACACCTGTACTTTAAAGCAAGCTCATTCTGAAGCTTTGGTAATAGATCTATTATTGCCAGATCCAGATACTGAGTAAGCTCTTTAAAGTTCACTGCTTCAGGAGCACTTAGGCTTCCACCAGTCTATGCCAGAATGTCATAGTACTAGAGAAGCCCTAACAGTACTTTAAAGTGCTGAATGTTGGCATACATATGCAGATCATGGTAAAAATAGTTATCTGTAAAGCTGAACTTTCAAAAACACAGTGGGAAAGAAAGTGGTAAAAAAGCTAGACAGTTCAGTCTTATGTTTTGCATATATGTAATCAGTTACATTACAGATCAGAAGACAAAGAGCTGAACTGGAGGTACAAGACATTACTATCGTCACATTGTAAAGGTTCATAGTTGAGCAGGAGCTGCCACAATGCACAGCAAGCCTGAAGCTCAGTTCTATCCATAGCTAGCAAGTTTAGTTGGCAAGTAACGATTGTTTTCTTTTTCTTCAGAGCAACAGCAGCAGTCCTCATAACTGAAGTGACCAAGTTGGGTAGGCCTTTTATTAAACACAGAACAAAGTGCACAGGAGATAAGGAACAGAAAGTTCTTCAGTTTTACTCCAGCACTTTAACAAGTGTAAATAAAGTAGTAAGGAATTTCTGTCAAGTGTAACTAACCACTGTGCTGTATACAAATGACATTAGTGTGGTGCTTAAGTGAATCACATCTCCACATCATTCATTAACTTTGAATACACATATAAGTATGGGCTTCTCACTTCGCCTCAACCAACCTTTTAAGTTTGGGAAAAAAGATCTACATACCTTTTGTTGAATCCCATCTTAATGATTTCTAAAGTGAAAGTCTTGCATCTGAAGAAAGCAAAAGGCGAGCAACCTTTCTGAAGAGTGGTTAACCTGCTCTTAAAGCTAAGGGACACTTGTCCCAGAAACTCTTATTGAGCAGGGAATGGAATCCATCAGGGAAGAACTGAGAACTTGTGAGCAAGTAGGTCAAAATGGACATTTAGGTTTGCTATATCCTTCATCAGGAAGCCAAGTAAACTTTAATCCTCTGGATTTATTCAAGTCATCTTTGGTGGATGTTATTTCTGTACCTTTTCCTCATATCCTGGAATTATTGGCCCTGGAGTTATTTCCACATTGACTGATTTTAAAAGGTTTAAAGTGACATGTACATCATTGTGTTTCCCTAAGCTTCCCACGCATTTATATACGAGGTCTTCATTAATCCATGTCTGCACCAAGTGTTCCCTAGCATCAGGGTGCCATTGATGTTCTTAAGCCTTTATAGTACCTATTTCATTTCTACTGTGAGACAAAAATAGTTTAACTGATCCTATGTAATCACGACAAGAGATTAATTAAAATGCCAAGATAGGAAACAATTTATTATAGAGAGAAGAAAAATTTCTCATCCAAAATATAGAAATCTGTACAACTTTGCCACAATCAATATACATGAACTGTACAAATTTACACCAGTTCATAATTTACCAAATAAAAGATGACTAACAAAGTTCACAAAATAGATGGTGGTTTGTGGAAAAGACTTTTACCCAATTAAGAACAAGGAAATTACAAACCAGACCTCCACTTTCTAAAAATAAGAAGTTTACTCAGTCTTAGAAAACTACAAGCTAGCAAATGTACAGATAGCTGGCTGGTGCTAACACCACAGTTCAGACAGTGTCTTTATATGGTCTTTTTAAAGCCTGTTGCCATGGCAGATTCTGATCACTTGCTACTTTTGAGGCCAATGTAAAGATCTGACCATTTCCCCAGGTCATACTTACTAGTTTATCTTATGTACATTTATACATATTTGTAAGTGCTAGGTAAAAGTCTGAAAAATAAGATTTCCAGTACTATTGTGTTCATAACAATAAGTCTTGTTACTGAGCTGCCAAAAATGCTAACAATTAATAAATGTAATAGTGCAAATTTACTCTGCAAGACCTACTGCAGAGAATCACTTTATAAATACAGATTGGGGTTGAAAATTGGTGTAGAAATTAAGTAAGATGTCTTGGAGAAACTGACCCTTCCTAGATCTTCTTCACTCCCTAGCAAGTTGCAATCATTTTGACTCACAGGCTATTAAATCACTGAAAGGTACTGTCCAAACTATGGCACTGTCACTTTAAAGTATACCACTCTAACGTGTGCCAGATCTTCACAGCTGTGACATGGTTTAAATTCCATAATCCATCCCCAGAGGTGCCCACCCAAAGTAAAAACCAAATTTATCCATCCATTTTAAGGTGATCCATCCACAGACTATATCTTAACCCGATACAGTCATCATATTGTAGCTTTTGGAAGGGCTAGTTCTGCCCAAGAGAAGTTCCTCCTTACAGCTTATTCTGCTGTCTACCATTTGCATGTTGGTGTTATTTTGGCTACCTCCTGCTGGTGCAGCTTCATACAGCACACAGATCGAGCCATCCTCTCCAATACGATAGGACACTTCATACGGGTCAACCCATAGAGTGAGTTCGCTTGGAAGAAGCTGGAACAGTTCCTGACTGCTCAATCCAATCCGCTGTGCTGCCTGTCCAATGAGAGGATCCATTTTATGGTTGATCCGGATACATCGGTAACCTGATCCCTTGCATGGCTTTTCTGGGAACCAGTGGTGTTTATAATGTTCTATAAAATAAAAGAAAAGATTATCCTCCTTAATTCTGTATTCAAGAAGATGTACAGTGAACATTGTTCTCTCACAAATTTCACACCTCAAGGTGTTGAGACACTTATTATTTTAGAGTAAGTGACCTGAAAAATCATTATAGCCTTTATTTTTTGCTGACTATTTACATAAGCACAGTGTCCCCTGGGAAGTACTCATGTACAAAGTTACTGTTTCATGCTACCATAGACAGAGAACAATGTTTGCCATCCAAAAGGGTGAAATACAACTTCCTGGCATTCACAGAAACAACTATTAAAAAAGTGATCACATACATAGCAGAAAAACGCAAGGGCTTCAAAACTCCACGAATCAAGAAGGAAAAAAAGCACCTTTCCAGCATCCTCTGGAGATCACACCCATGATTAGTTCCTCACATTCTAAGAACACCCAAAAATAACCAGGGAAGGAGCTGGGCAGCATTTACCGACTGACTCAAGCTGTATTTCACCACTGCTCTTCCCAGCCTGTTTTCCAGGGCGAGATACCAATGACTTCACTTACCTTAGGAGTTCTATCCCACCCAAAACCCTATCGGTCTGAGGCTACTCGTAGCCACTGTCTAGCACACTGGGACACAGGCTCGGGATTACAAAACCCCCAGGGCAGCGAAGAAACCCTCGATATTTGACCCTAACCGGGGCTGTCGGGTGGCAACGAGATGTTTTCAGAAGAAAGGGGAACTGAGACTTATCGTCCCCCGCTGAATTTTACTTGACAAAAAAGCAACTTAGGAGCGTTTCTCCTTCAGGAAACCAGGCGGTGTGAGCCCTTGGAGCGGAGCCCAAGTGCGGGCTGCTCCGAAAGCTTTGTCTACGGAGCCAAGGGGGGGGCTGCCTGC